ATTAGCAAGATAAAATAAACAAAGCAACGTAAACATGCCACAGAAAATTACACAACATTGAAACCACGAATTTAACAAAATAAACATGCTAGAGAAAATTGAACATGGCAGACAGACACAAGGGAGAAAACTAATGTGGCCAGAGAAAATTATAAATTCCAGAGAAACTTAGACATTGACAAGAGAATATTAGGTATTTTCGTGTGGAATACATGTGGCCACAGCTAATTTTCATTCCCAGAGAAAATAGCCAAAGCAACACAAATATGACTGAGAAATTTTCAAAAATTGCTACAAATTACATATAGATGTAAAATATAGCCTGAGAAAACTCAAGAAAGAAACATAAACCTAGTAAGTACAGAAAATGAAAATGTCAGAGAAAATTACACATTGCAGAGAAAAATTTTATTCCAGAGAAAATTTCCAATCCATAATATTAAAATGCCAGAGAAATTTACATACACAACCAGAGAAAATTAAACATGATAGAGACACACAAGGGAGAAAAGTAATGTGGCCAGAAAAAATTATAAATGCCAGAGAAACTTAGACACAGACAATAGAATAATATTACATATAGATGTAAAATATAGCTAGAGAAAATTCAAAAAAGAAACATAAATTTACCAGGCACAGAAAATGAAAATGCCTGAGAAAATTACACATTCCAGAGAAAAATAGACATTCTAGAGAGATTTACAGAGCAAAGAAATTTACAGACAAATCACATAAACATGTTCAGGGATAAGATCAAAACACAGAGAAATAACTTTTTTTCAAAATAAATATGTTAGAGAAAATTCAAAGAAGAAACATACATTAAGCAAATACCAAAGAAATTCAAATGCCAGAAAAATTTACAGATAAAATCACACAAACATGTTCAAGAATAAGTTCAAAACACAGAGAAATAACTTCTTTCAAATTCATGTAGCTTTTTATTACGAAATTGAAACCCTAATTAATGGAAGGTTAATATAAAATGCAATTAACTGTGTTTTCAGAGAAAAACTCGTTGAAATGTAGAAAAACTTACCAAAGTTAGGATGAAACGCTAATTACAAACTGATATGCCCTGAGATGAAGATGCAATGTGACGAAGATAAACTGAGATGACGATGAACAGTAAAAACGGAGTCAGAGAAATTTGTGAAGAAGGAATGAAAAAGATTTTTACAGAAGATAATGAAACTCTAATGTCGATGGTGAAGATGATATTGAAACCCTAATTCAACTATTCTCTTGCTCGTGAAGATGGTTGGATGTTTGGAATGGAACTCAATCGTCGGAATCCAGTTTAGTTTCAGTGTTGATTTGTGAAAGGTATTTTGGTCCATGAAATAATTAAAAATGCGCGCGATGTAATTGAGGGACCTGATGTATCACTATCACTTTTTTTTTTTTTTTTGGTGTCCTTTATCTTCTAAATTATTATTATTAGGGACCTTAAAAAAAATTTCCCTAATTTAAATTATAGTGGTGCTATACGTACTAATTAAGGTATTAATTAGTGTACTAACATATGTTATGAGATTGTCATTTTAAAACTATAATCCCACCCCCATTATACAAATTATAAAAATCCAAACCCTTCAAAATGATATCATATCATCTGTTGTACATTAATTAATATATATAACTTTATCTTTTAAATTATAAAAAATTACGTGACATAAGTTTAAAATATATTTTTAGTTGAGCCTAAGACTGGCGAATTATTCGATGGAAAATGTTTGGTGGCCCGAATTCTGTGGCTCCCAGACTCGAATTTTTGTGGCTCGAATGGCTCGAATGTGTTAAAACGACGTCGTTTTACACCCAAAACGACGTCGTTTTGAGTGTTTCGAGCCATTCGAGTCATGTTTTTTCAGGCCACCTATCATTATTGTTATTCGATAGTTCTCTAATATAATATAATAGTTCAAGTGGAACTCTCAATTATGATGTAGCAATTTTTATTTTTTTTTATAATTCAGACAATGTTTACCCACCTTCTTCTTTTTTTTTTTTTTTTTTTTTTTTTTTTTTTTTTCAATGGTACTCCATTTTTAAAGCCTTAAAATTTTGACTCTTAGCACCGGAGATTAATCAATCTCAATGATCAGACAGTAAGGCCTTACTCTATTTAGAATTTTGTTCACTGTAATAATGAGTAAATACTAATTGTACACATGTTTAAAACGGTGTATAATAATTCAATTCAATACTTAAATTTGAATGTACTCACTAAAAATAAATTAAGTCTATAATTTATATTACCTCAATTTTTAAGTATTTCTGATTTTTAAATATGTTATGTCACTGTCGAGGTGTGTCTTCATTACTCACCAGTCTCACCCCATTATCGCCAGGTGCCAAAATGGGAAACCAAAGAGAAAAACTGTAAAATTTAAGTGGGATAAAATATAATTTACCCAAAATAAAAATAAAAATAAAAATAAAACGGAAAACTCAACCAAGGCTAATTAAACAACTCAATATTATCAAGGATCTTTACAAAATGGATAAGAGACAAGAATACATTTCAGATGGAAGATTTAACATTATAACTTATAAAATATAGAATCTTTCATTATTTTTTTGGGTAAATTAAAATTTTATAGCACAAACAACGCAGTACAAACAAATTGTAACAAGATTCCAAATAGAAACATACACAACTAGAAAACAAACAAGAATCTGAGAAATACTTTGCCCTCACAACTAAAAAACAGGAAACAAAAACAATTACTGAAACAATCTACTAAAAGCGCCCCAAGAGGTGACAATTCTCTTGAGAAAACTGTAACAACCCTCATACTGTTTACCGATTAATGACTGATTAGTTACCGATAAACGCTATTTACCGTGAAACTGAATTGATCATGACTGATAATTGAACTGATTAAAAGTACTGCACTGACTGACCGAAATTGAAACTGAATGGAATGAATACTTCTGTTTGAATTGCATTTTATCTGTTGACTGTATGATTATCTGTTCATGTTTATATGTTTCAACTGCTAATTGAAGGCCTTATCGGCGGCCGAATTAGAAACCGATTAGTGTTTTATGATCCTCATGATTAATGTGATTTTATGGTGTATTTACCTGAAAACTGATTAGGTATGATTAAGATTAATGTGATTTTATGGTGTATTTACCTGAAAACTGATTAGGTATGATTAA